GTTCACCAATCACAACGCACTGGGACAGCTAACCAATCACAACACATTTTGTTTTTCGGAAGGCGGACCTTCATCAAAGCCGGAACTAATCGAGCCGTTTGTGCCAGCCTGGGGAGAAAGGTATTGTAATAATGTAAATTATGTGAAAAATAATGCATTTTTCAAACCACCAAGCATGAGAGCATGTTCTAGTACACCCCCAAAACAAAATCAAGACTTTGCAAAAGAGCATAATAGGACCCCTTTAAAATAAATCAGCCTCTTCAGCTTATTGAGCAAGAAAAGTTTCCTTTATAAAAGTGTAAACAAACTTCATAAAATGAAACTCATCATAAAGAAAATTGATATAGATTATATTATTGAGCAAAGTGTTACACGAGAGATACTTTACTTCGGGGAGGAACATCATCCTCGAACTTCATCTTAAAGATTAACTTTACTCACTGTGACTAATTTAGATGATTCTTTGTCTCGTCGTCGATTAGGACAGACTAATAGGAAAGAGATGTGGCTTCGCATTGAAAGGTCTGGAACTAAAGATAAGCTACTTAATGTGAGTTTTGGCATGCCTGCGTAGAGTTGACGAGTGAGTGAAAGTCTTCCCACATGCAGTGCAGCGATACGGTTTCTCTCCGCTGTGGATCCTCTCGTGTGTTTTCAGATGACCTGAACGACTGAATATCTTGTCGCAGTGTGAACACATGTAAGGTTTCTCTCCAGTGTGAGCTTTCTGGTGCCGTTTCAAATCTAGAGCTCTCGTAAAGGTCTTATCACACTCAAAGCACATATGATTTTGTACGCCAGCATGTATTTTCTCATGTACTTTTAAATATTGAAGAAGTGAAAATCTCTTTCCACACGAGGAACATGAATGTGGTTTATCCTTTGAATGAAGTTTCAGGTGAATCTTCGGAGCTGAAGCCAACAAAAATGTTTTGCCACATTGATCACATTCATATAGCTTCTCTCCAGTGTGGATAAACGTGCCTTTTAAGGGTTATTTGTTGTGTGAAGCTCTTTCCACACTGATCACATGTGAACGGTTTCTCTCCAGTGTGGACGATCATGTGTTACAGTCATTAATGCATTCAGTGTGAATTTTAAACATATTTCCAAAAGAAAACCATTTAGAGCGTTATCAAAAATCTGTAACATGTCTCTAAAACAGACATAAGGCAAAATAATCACTAAGTAAAGGTGTAACAAAATATCTCTAGTAGTAAGACCCGGTACTTCGGTACCAAGTCGGTACTAAAAAAATGAAAACGTTACGGTAGCAGGTTTTTTTTAAAGTACCGGTGGTACCGAGTACCCGCTCAACCCGGTTCTTGATGCGCTCTCTTCATAAAAGCACTGAGACGTGGCGACCTCAAAACGAGGAAACACACCAAACTAACAAAACACTTTAAAGACAGACACCCGGATCAAATGAAAGAGTTCAAGCAGGTAAGTTTCATTTTAATTTTTAATATTTGTTTTTCGCATACATTGATTTATTAGTGGCGGACCGCCACAATATCAAAACTCACTGCCACAAATAGATTTTCCAAAAGGCTTTGACTTCGTTGAATAAACATGAGCACTGCACGCGTCACAGTCGAAACCCGGTGCGGGTGTTTTTATATCACTGCATTTCTGGAAACCGACTGTCTTCAGAAAATGATGGATCTCATTTTCATTTAATCTTGCCTGTAATGCCTGAGCAGCGTTTGTGAGAACAGCGCTTTTTAGTCACAGTCGAAACCCGGTGCGGGTGTTTTTATATCACTGCATTTCTGGAAACCGACTGTCTTCAGAAAATGATGGATCTCATTTTCATTTAATCTTGCCTGTAATGCCTGAGCAGCGTTTGTGAGAACAGCGCTTTTTAATCTCTGACAAACCTCTATCTCTGCCGCTCTACAAGCGCCTCCTGCTGGCAGAGAATGAAATTGCATATATATGCCGCCACAAATAGTGCACACGTTCTGGGGGAAACACTGCATATTATTCAATATTTTAATTTGAATGTCGGATTGAAATGAATGCTGTCATTAGAGTAGTTAATCGTTAGCATAAGCGTGGCTAACGCTAATATAATGAGCATTAGAATTAAGTTTCTTTATTAACTATTTTATGCTCCTATAACTTTTATTAGGGTAAAAAAAACAGGAGGACATGATGATATTTACTTTTTTTACACACCGGAGGCTTTTAAAGGAATTGTGAATCTAAAATATGCGTGTTAGAGAATGTACAAATGGTTAACATTGTTTGTGTCGTATCAGTCAGAAAAGCAGTTCTGGGGGTTTTTAAAAAAAATTTTTTTAAGCTAACTTAGTTGTTATTCTTGGCTGAATAGCTCTAGGTTTTCAAAAACCCTTTAAAATTAAATATGTACACATTTTGGATTAAATGAAAGTAGTCACATTTTTTAATTAGCATGGTTTTGTGTTTTGCTTTGGTACAGAGAACCGTGGATTTGCACTGGTTTTGGTACCGAATACTGAAATTTTGGTACCGTGACAACACTAGTCTCTAGAATGAGACATATATGGCAGAAAAAGGGGGAAAAAAACGTGTCCAGGGCCATGCATTGGTCATAGAGCTCTTTGTGGCGTTGCCTCAGATGTTGAACTAGATTTGTTGCGCCAGGTTCACACGTACTCCGTCTGCAGTGCGTATACAGTATGTGTATGCGGTGCAGAAGCAGCACGGACTCATTGTGCTTTCGCACAGGACGCGTTTGCAGTCCGCTCCTGATCTGCGGCTGTTTACCACAAAGACGAGAGCTGATGGAAGCAGCTTCCCTCTGACCAGACTTGTGAACAGCACGTCTACAGATGATCTTTCCTCAACAGATGACAGAATTCCGCTTACAAAATCCAAGTCCATCAAATATAAAAGCCACTTTATATTTCTCAAACACGTTTAATTTTTCCAATTCTTTTAGTTCAGGATAAAATACCTGTAGAAACTCATGGAGATTGACCTCTTTGTCTTTAAGCACGTTGATCTCTCGGAATGGAAGCAGGAACACACAGTGTATATCCTCATTGGCTTTTCCTTCTGCCCAGTCCAGGATGAACTTGTGCACAGAGACAGTTTTCCCAATGCCAGCGATGCCCTTGGTCAGCACAATCTTTTTCTCATTATTTTTCCTCAGTTCAGTAAATATAGCATTGCATTTTATTGGTTTGTTCTGTGTTTTTTTGTTCTTGAAAGCATCATCAATCTTCAGAATCTCATGTTCCTGTTTGACATCTTCAATGTCTCCCTCTGTGATGAAGAGATCTATGTAAACATCCTTGAGATGTGCTCCATTTTCTTCCTTGACCTCAAAAATCAGTTCAACTTTCTCCTTATTGTTGGTTTTGTGAATTTCCAAGAATTTTTGCAACCTCAAATCGCCTGCAATAAAAAATAAATAAATTGAGGAAATAGCCTTGAAAAACACATTTTGACTGGATGTTTTGTTGATTATCACCATTGTTGAGGTTTGTATAATGAGTGCTGATGTCTAAGTGTCTCAGTGACAAAGATGCTGTATGTATGCATCTTTGAGAGATGATCTGTTTAACTTATCATAGTGCTTATGCATAACAGTGATTTTAACATTAAAACAATTTTTTTAACGCCTCATAGTGATGGGAAGTCTGGTTCTTTTCTGAAAACTGGTTCTTTTGGACAGTTTGTTTCAATTAACAGGTTCTTTTACGTCCTCGCGCAATGTCAATTCTGTCATCCCGGGGAATGAAAATACATTTAAATAAAGTCAGTAATCATGGCTTAAGTTAAATAACAATAATAACCATGATTATCGAAGCTTCATACATTTAAGTTAAGCATCCAAATACTGGAACTGATGTGGAAATCTGGATGTTTTACATGTCATAAAGATATAAAGTGTATAAACTAGTCAAACTTTTTACAGAATCCATGATCCAGCTTATAAAAACTTAAAATATAACCTGCATACACAATAGTCAATAGTAAAATTCATTGACACGTTTTTGACTGAACAGTTGTTGCATGTTTAATTAAAATGTTGTTCAATATAACTAGTTACTGTGCATGTTAACAAAAGGGTCAAGTGCTCAACTAAAGGAAACCCTTATTACCATAATGGTGAGTTCTTAACCTTCTTCAGGGGTGTTTTCCAGAAAGCAAGGTTAACTTTCAGTCACATATAGCCTGAACTCTTATTTGCCATATGTGCGCCATAAAGGGGCGTATGTTACGCGGTATGTTACGCGGGGGTCCCCCCCCCGCGGGGGTCCCCCCCACTTTTAATATAATGTAAATTCGTCCCCCGCACTTTTTCGGGCAAGTGTGTTCGCATAGAGGTTTTCAAGAGCCGGTGTGAATAAATATAGATTTAAATTCAAAGAGACAGGATAGTCTGTGCATGATTTGATGTTTTATTCGGACCCAAGATAAGCCGAGATGAACATCGTGGAGCGCTAAACACTCCGTGCAGTGTGTGTTTCATTCATACTCGAAGCCGGAGGGGCTCTCGCGCAGAAAGTCGTACCAGGAAATCCCTAATATGGACAAAAGCTTCCAGCTATCGCTGTATAAAAATAGTTATTTTCACAGAAAAACAGAAACGTTTGGAAACATGAAGACATTAAACATACGATTGCGACAATATGGTTTATTTGTGTTTGTCAAGTCATCTCCAGGTAATAAATAAAGTATATGAACAATGCAGTGATAACTGACATAGCATCTCTTACAGTATAGAACCTATTCTGCCTTATTATGTGATAAAAAAAGTGTTTGTAGTATATAAACAAATCATTATTATTGGATATTGTCCAGCAGTTATCTGATTTCTAAGTCAATTAAAGCTAGAAATTAGAGAAAAATTAAAGTTGCATATACACGACCAGTCAACAGTTTTTGAACAGTAAGATTTTTAATGTTTTTTAAAGAAGTCTCTTCTGTTCACCAAGCCTGCATTTATTTGATCCAAAGTACAGCAAAACAGTAA